TAGCAAGGTTTTTTTTTAAAGAATAGAATTAGAATAGAGAGTGCTAGAGTTAGAGGGTCAAATAAAGAGGAAGAGATGTGTTTTTAGCCGATTCTTGAAGATGGCTAAGGACTCAGCTGCTCGGATTGAGTTGGGCAGGTCATTCCACCAGGAGGAAACAGTTAATATAAAAGTCTGTGAAAGTGATTTTGTGCCTCTTTGGGATGAACAATAATGCACCGTTCACTTGCAGAACGCAAGCTTCTAGAGGGCATATAAGTCTGAAGTAATGAATTTAGGTAAAGGGGTGCAGAGCCAGTGGTGGTTTTGTAGGCAAACATTAATGTCTTGAATTTTATGCGAGCAGCTATTGGTAGCCAGTGCAAACTGATGAACAGAGGTGTGACATGCATTCTTTTCGGCTCATTAAAAATTAATATTGCTGGATTAGTTGTAAAGCAAGGTTTGATAAAACCTCTCTTGGCAGGTCTTCCAGCCAGTTCTATTCATAATAAGATGGCAGTGACGCACAAAGAAATAGGTTATTTAAAACTAAAAATTATAATGCGTAAACATGCAAAAAATTCCTATGCGCAAGTGAATAGTTTCTCAAGGGCACAAAAAAGTTTCTCGTGTTCATGCAAAAGTTTATTTATTTATTTGTAGGGACTCTGTATGTTGTCAAGAAAATCAATAAAAACCCTGAGAAAATAAAAATATTAACAGATGACTGTACTATATACCAAATATAAAGCTGAAAATAATGCTACATGAACCATTATGTTAAATATGGTCTGAAAATCTACTGAGAGGTTTGGAAATTTGAGTCTGGAAAAGTATGGAAATTTGGAATGGAAAACGTGTAGGAACCCTGTGTGCTTGCATCCTCGTCATGGGCCAGTGGGCCATTTATATACTATATACAGTGACCTCCCCCAAACCTTAAAATAAATACATTTTTATTGTTTTGCCAGAAGGGTTCATGTAAAGGCAATGGTAAACATGAACAAAAGCATTGTTAATGTCCAAACAAGACAGAAGCAAAACAGCGGAATTTACAAATGGTTACAAACACTTGTGGTTCAGAGAAAAATACTGATCTTGAATTGTCATTATCCAAACTCCTGGAGTCCACAGGTTTTAAAAACAAGCGGATGGTTTCATGCTTCAAGAGCTGCTTCTTTTATTATTTATTTATTCTAATTGCTGAAGGATTGTTCCATCATTAGGCCTTGGAGTCCGAGTGTTTGACTGCCAGTTGACTGGGCTTCAATGAACATCTTCATGATTTGAACATTTCCCATCTGAAACGTGTGTATGTTGGTTTTGATCTTTCTGCTCTTTCACTGGGTTCAGAACTCATGTAAGCTCATAAAGAGCTCTAAAATCAATCGAACAGGATGATAATTGACTTCTATAATTGCATCGCTTGTTTCTCTGTACAATGGCCAGCAAAACAAATGCGGTAAAAACTGTATCGGCATACAGTATGACAACAGCATGATGTTTCCTATTATTAAAGGATAGAAAATAACACATAAGCACACGGTTGCATCTCTGCCATGACAAGCTTCGAACAAGATCACATTCAGCATAAAGCATTATTGAACAATCCAGATGAGATGGCCGGACCCTCTGCGATCGAGCCGGTCCATGCGAGGTAATTTTAACAAAGAATAACAAGACACATTTGATAACCCTTGTTTCCAAACGAGATTTTTAAAAGCAAGTTTTAAACTTGGATTCTGAAAATCTCTCGTGACATAGTTATGCTAGATATATTCTAACTCAATCAAACACAATGTCAGCTAGCTAGAAAAAAATCGTTTGTCTGTTTTTTCTGTGTAACAAAGCATAATGTTTACATAACTGAAAGGATACAGCTTCCATAGCTTACAGTTTAATGAGTGCAGATTGTAGTGAGGGAATCGTGGGTGGCATGGGTTTTTATAAAGACATTCATGAGCTGTTTCATTTGTTAACTTCAAAGACACATGCTGCTCCAACAAAAACAAAGCACTTTCCCTCAGGTTTTTTTTTAAAGACAAAAGACATAGCACAACATTCGTGCTTTCTAATCTACATATGATGAAAAACAAAATGAATAAAAAAAGATAAATACTGCATATCATCTAGAGTTTGTCATTCTTATTCTCATTCGGATGAGTGAGTCTGTTCTCTCTTCTGATATGTTTTCAGAGCAGATGCGTAGTCAGGTGAATATGTGTTTACATAAAACGGTCAGTTCACCCACAAATGAAAATGATGTCATCATTTACCTTTTTGAGACTTAAGTAATATACAAATCTCATGTCATTCCAAAACCGTATGATGTATTTCCCTCCATGGAACACAAACGATTTAGCGGAATGTTCATGCTGAAAATTCCATGGCCTTGAAATGACATGAGGATGAGTAAATAGCAGATTTTCATTTTTGGTGAACTATCCCTTTAAGAGCAAAAGTAAACAAAGATTTATACGGGAATAAATGATTAGATACATGATTACAGTTTAGTTCCAAGTTAGAATTTACAAAATTACACAAAATTATCCACCCATTCAAGGAACATAAATGTAAAATAAGGACACCAATTCATGAAAAATAATATGACGGTAACATCTGTCTCCTGTACTCTCAGGAGGGCAGTTTATAAGTGCAATGAGAGTTTAAAAACTAAAACGTCTTTATGCAGACAAACTGCTTTACAAGCAGACAAACAGCCGGCACCTGGAGCCTTTATATTTCACTTTCTAAGAAACATAGCATTGGATTTGATCATTAATCAGCCAAAGACAGTGTCCCATTGTAAAGACGGTAATCCAGCGACACTTGTTTCAGTAAGAGGTATTTTACAAACTCAGGATCAGGTTAAATGAAGCTCTTCAGAGCTACAATTTACTGATCAGAGCTGAAGGCCATCATATCACCCTGTCTGAGAAAAAACTTGTTTCTGTTGAAAAAAACAAAACAAAAATCTGTACACAAAAACAAGGTTCCCTAATGAGTGCACACAGAGATGAATGTACAATGTGCTCACTGCAGCGCAACTGGCTTGTCAGTCGCTCTGTAAAAAATTGCAAAGTTCCGTTGAGTTACTGCAAAAAAAGATGCCATTTGTGAAGGAGTTTGATCATTCTGGTCACTTGGCCCTGAATCAATGTGCGTTCGAGTGAACCATACTCTGCCATTCTCACTGATCTCAAAATAACACTCTCATATCTGCATATGACTATCAGTTTAATCCAGACGGGACAGATAGTTTTAATGCTTTAAATTCTCTTCAAATTAAAGGTTTGTCCTTTTTACTCTTCCTCATGTCATTTAAACCTGTGACTCTGAAGAAATTACTTGTTGCTCTTCTATACAGTAAACAGGGACATGAGGCTGCAAAAGATCACCATAGATGTAGCACTGAAGTAGTTCATATGACTTGGCTGCTATTTTCCAAGTCTTCTGATGGAATATGATAGCTTTGTGATAGAAGCTAGAGTGCTGCAGGGATGATGTAATGTTTTAAGCTAACTTTGTAAGATAAGTGGTGAGTATTACCAAATGAGCATTACACAGTAAATTCCTTAGTGTTAAATTAACACTGCTCGGAGCATATACAGGTGCATCTCAATAAATTAGAATGTCGTGGAAAAGTTAATTTATTTCAGTAATTCAACTCAAATTGTGAAACTCGTGTATTAAATAAATTCAATGCACACAGACTGAAGTAGTTTAAGTCTTTGGTTCTTTTAATTGTGATGATTTTGGCTCACATTTAACAAAAACCCACCAATTCACTATCTCAACAAATTAGAATATGGTGACATGCCATTCAGCTAATAAACTCAAAACACCTGCAAAGGTTTCCTGAGCCTTCAAAATGGTCTCTCAGTTTGGTTCACTAGGCTACACAATCATGGGGAAGACTGCTGATCTGACAGTTGTCCAGAAGACAATCATTGACACCCTTCACAAGGAGGGTAAGCCACAAACATTCATTGCCACGGTCGGCACGGAGAAAATGAGGGACCAAAGATGGTGATAGTTTCCTGTTGGAGTGGGCGGCAGCGGAGACGTGTCCCGTTCTTGTCTCCATCAGCAGGTTGGCCCCTCTCCTCCAGAGGTCAGGAGCACAGCGCCATCTACTGGACGAGACCACGGTCCAATTAGACAAAACAACAGAACCAGATGGAAAACTCAACACAAACACAATCTCAGAAGGGCCTCATTTTCTTCCTGTTGTGTTCAAAACCTGGGTAGGCTACTTCTGTGTTGGGATATATATAGTAGCCAACATCTGAAGTCGATCAAAACCTTTCATCAAAGTTGTTCCTAAACCTAAAACCAAAATGAGTTCTTGTCTTAGGACAACTTTGTCTTAGGACATACTACTGTATGGAGTTTGACAACTGAGCATACAGTTTTAGAGCAACATGAGGGTGAGTATGACAGAGTGGTTGAAGTCAGTTACTAAAGCCTTCTTCCGTATGAAGGCCTGAAATCAGATTACTGATCACCACAGCCTAAATAGAGAAGTGAACATAGAGATTGATTAAAAAAAAATCTGAATTGAAACAGCTTTAAATATACAAACCAATGTAAAATATTAGAGTTCCATACAGTTTATATGCAAAAACATTCTATATAAGTGTATTTTAAAGGACTTTGGCTCCTTTATAAATGAGCATGTTAGATAATGTAAAAAGCACCAACAAATGCATCATAGAAACCTACAATGATATGTACAATGAATGCATCAGCTTGAATGAAAGAGAAAGTGTGGAAATCAATTAATAAAAAGCAACAGCTTATCATGCACATGAAGAAATCCATACAGGAGACCTGAGGAGCTTCAAATCTGTCACAGGTGGGCGTCTGGGACACACACACATACAAACTGCAGGGTGTGTGTGATTCTCCCAAGCGGTTTTGATTATACACCAGCCGTCGTCTGTTCTTAAAGCAGAAATCCAGCTCACTGGAGAGGTCCAGTCTCTCAGTCTGAGGTTTCATGAGCCGCTTGGACTCTAGGGCTCCTCGCTGGAGGAGGTGGCCCCGCCGTTGGGCTCTGGGGAGGGGGCCGAGGCTTTGGGCTCCGTGGAGCTGCTGCTGTTTTTGCCCGTGCAGCTCCGCTCTGAGGAGCTCTGTCCGTCCTGACCCTCTGAATTCTCCAGCATCTCCTGGATGAGGGGAGGCATTGATCCTGGGATCTCCATCTTCAGAGAGATCACTCGCTCTGCACCTGCAGGAAACACTCACTGTGAGCTCCATCTGTTTTGCTGTAGGCAACTCATTTGCTTTTTTAATTTTTTTTAAAAATATCATTCATTTAAATATCAACGTCTAGGTTACGTATGTAACCCTCGTTCCCTGAAGGAGGGAACGGAGACATTACGTCAGAACAGACTGACGAATGGGGTCTCGCTCAAGAGCCCAATCACCTTTGAGTGGTAACAGAACGAGCCAATGGTACGCTGAATTTGCATCGCGAGCTCCGCCCCGCTGTGTGGGTATATAAGGAGCAGCGCGAGCAAGTCGCATTCAAGTCTTCGCTGAGGAGCCGAGCCGTGTGACCCAGCCGTTCAGCAGAACAACAATTGTGGCAAAGGGACGTAATGTCTCCGTTCCCTCCTTCAGGTTACATACGTCCAGAAATCCACCTGCATAAGTGATAGCACTCTGTCGTGAGGCCAGCACGAGTGAAGGGCTATACCTAACACAGAATGCACTGGGTAGCATATTCCAGCTGGAAGTATGCTAACAGGCTGCCTGCTTGTAGGAGGTCTTACAAAGCACATATTAACCAGTGTAGCGGTGATACATATGAATCTCTGAGGTACCCAGCCCGTAGGGTTGATGTTTCAACTTCAGAGATGGCAAGCGTGGTTTGCCAAGGGAAAGACACATGCTGCCGAGAGAGACTTACTGTGGAAATACAGACGTGGGATTGCCCAAGAGGGGAATCACAACACATGGAGGCACCTAGATTTATCCATTGGCTTTTGGATTACTGCAGAAAAAAAAGCTCTGTGACAAACCAAAAGTTGATTCATGTTTGGTTTTCATGCTTCATGTTTTATCAAAATAATCTTCACAAATGAACACTAAATATAATTGCATGAAGTCGCTACATAAACAAACTATCAACGTCACAACCACTGAGCTAGATGACGTTTAATATCCACTTGACATAAGCAGCCGCCTTTTTAAAGACAAGCAAAAGTCTAGGTGTTACTGATATGTTTATTTCAGGCATTTAAACCATTTTAACCCATTTTAACCCATTCCTATTAACCAATTTTCTTCAGCATCATTCCCCCAGTCTTCAGTGTCACATGATCCTTCAGAAATCATTCTAATATGCTGATTTATTATCAGTGTTGAAACTGTTGTGCTGCTTAATATTTTTTTGGAACCTGTGATACTTTTTTCTTTGATTCGTTGATGAATAAAAAGTTAAAAAGAACAGCATTTCTTCAAAATAGAAATCTTTTCTAACAATGTAAGTCTTTATATCACTTTCTATCTCTTTCACTTTATCCATTTAACACAGCACAACTGTTTCCTGCATTGATTAATCAGCATATTAGAATGATTTCTGAAGGATCATGTGACACTGAAGACTGGCTTCAGAAGACTGGATGCTGAAAATTCAGCTTTATGTTACAGGAATAAATTATATTTTAAAGTATATTATAATAAAAATCTGTTATTTTAAATTTTTTGGTATTTTCCTGTATTTTTGATAGATACAGCCCTGATGAGCATAAGAAACTTCTTTAAAAACATAAAAAATCTGACTGATCCCAAACTATATAATATATAATATATGTATATATATATGAGGAAAATAGCGCACACATCCAGTCTGTGGAGTAGAATGGCGCAGCAAGCGAATTGACACCGAGCATGTCCTGTTCACTGGCCCAAAGGGGCAAGTATACGGGAGGACACGGGCTCTACACGGAGATTATAGAATCTCGCAAATGTGTTAGGCGTCGCCCAGCCGGTTCTGCTTGGAGACAGCCTTTCCCTTCTGCTGGCCTCCGTTACAGACAAAGAGCTGGTCTGAGGTCCTGAAGCACTGAGTTCTGTCTACGTAAGTGCGGAGAGCATGCACTAGACAGAGCAGCACCAGGGCTGGGTCTGCCTCCTCCGGGGGCGGCGCTTGCAAGTTCACCACCTGATCTCTAAAAGGAGTGGTGGGAACTTTGGGCACGTATCCAGGCCGGGGTCTCAAGATAACATGTGAGTTGGCCAGTCCGAATTCCAGGCACGCTTCGTCAACTGAAAATGCCTGCAAGTCCCCGATCCTCTTAACCGAAGCCAAAGCCGTCAGTAGCGCAGTTTTTAATGATAAGAATTTTAGCTCCACTGAAAGCAAGGGTTTGAAAGGAGCTCTCTGCAGTGCGGATAAAACAACTGCGAGCTCCCAAGAGGGAACTTGTTGAGGGCGAGGCAGATTGAGCCTCATGGCCCCCCTCAGGAACCTGATGATCAGGTCATGTTTCCCAAGATACTTACCATCAACAGGATCATGGTGGGCCGCAATGGCAGCCACATAGACATTCAGGGTGGAAGGAGACAGCCTTCGTTCCAACCCTTCTTGAAGAAAGGAAAGCACTGACCCGATTGGGCATTCCCAGGGTTCTTCTCGACGTGAAGAACACCAAGTGACAAAGAGGTTCCACTTCAGAGCATAGGCATGTCTGGTAGACGAGGCCCTAGCCGAAGTGATGGTAGCTACCGCCTGAGGTGACAAGGTACCTAAATCTTCCGTGACCCGTCCAGAACCCACACATGTAGGTTCCAAAGATCGGGACGCTACCACCTGAGGTGGCAAGGTACCTAAACCTTCTGTGACCCATCCAGAACCCACATATGTAGGTTCAAAAGATCGGGACGCAAGTGCCAGAGGGTGCCCCATCTCTGAGAAAGAAGGTCCTTCCTCAGAGGGATTGGCCAGGGAGGGGCTGTCGCGAGGAGTACAAGTTCGGAGAACCAGGTCCGGCTGGGCCAATATGGCACTACCATGAGGACCTGCTCCTCGTCCTCCCTGATCTTGCACAACGTCTGTGCAAGAAAGTTCACTGGAGGAAACGAATACTTGCGCAGGCCCTGTGGCCAGCTGTGTGCCAGAGCGTCCGTGCCAAGGGTGCCCTCAGTCAGGGAGTAAAACAACTGGCAGTGGGAATTGTCTGGAGAGGCAAACAGGTCTACCTGAGTGTCTCCAAAGCATTCCAAAATCAGCTGAACTGACTGGGGCTGGAGTCTCCATTCCCCGGGGCGAGACTGCTGTCATGATAGCTTGTCGGCTGCACGATTGAGCTTGCCTGGGATGTGAACGGCACGAAGCGACCTCAGATGCTTCTGACTCCACAAGAGGAGATAGTGAACGAGTTGCGACATGCGACGGGAGCGTAGACCGCCCTGTTGGTTGATGTACGCTACGGTCGCAGTGTTGTCTGTACGGACCAGAACGTGCTTGTCCTTCAGCAGGGCCTTGAAGTGGTGCAGAACAAACCATACTGCTAGCAACTCGAGGCAATTGACATGCCACTGAAGTCAGGGTCCTGTCCAGGAGCCTGACGCAGCATGTCCGTTGCACATGTCACCCCAGTCCGTGGCTGAGGCATCTGTTGACACAACAACATGCCTGGACACTGGTTCTAGGGGAACACCAGCCCGTAGAAACGAGGGGTCCAACCACAAGGTGAAGGTTTGGCGGCAGGCCGGAGTGATGGTCACTCAGAGCGTGCCCTGTTGCCATGCCCATCTCGGGACTCGGCCGTGAAGCCAGCGCTGAAGCGGTCTCATATGAAGCAACCAGAGCGGTATGACCGCCGCTGCGGATGCCATATGCCCCAGGAGCCTCTGAAATCATTTCAGTGGAACCGCTCTCTTGCCTTCGAATTGACTCAGGCAATTCAGCAGTGACTGTGCGTGCTCGCTTGTAAGCTGCGCGAACATGGCGACAGAGTCTATTTCCATACCGAGAAAAGAGATCCTCTGCACAGGGGAGAGTTTGCTCTTTTCCCAGTTGACCCAGATGGGCGAGGTGTCTTGAGCACCAGATCCCTGTGCTTGCACAACTGTACTCGAGAGTGAGCTAGAATCAGTCAGTCGTCGAGGTAGTTGAGGATATGGACACCTTGTTCCCTGAGAGGAGCCAGAGCTCCCTCTGTAAACCTTCGTAAAGACGCGGGGAGACAGGGCCAACCCGAATGGGAGAACTTTGTACTGATATGCCTGCCCCTTGAAAGCAAACCGAAGAAACGGTCTGTGATTGGCCGTAACCCTGGTCTGTAGAAGCCGGACTTCATGTCGGCTGGAGGGACTGGCTCTATCGCGCCCTTTGCCAGCAGGGTCGCGACCTCCGAGTGCATGATAGGAGCACCTTGCCCACCATCGTAGCCCGAACACCCCGAAACCTGGGGGGACGCCGGGCGAATTGAATCGCATAGCCGAGCCTGATCGTTTGGATGAGCCAGCGGGGCCGGACTAGAGAGCTGTAGCCAGGCTCCCAAAAACCAAACCAGCGGGGTTAGAGGAACTACAGGCGTACCCACAGTGGGGCAGCGAGGTGGAACAGACGGCCCTGACATGGGAGGCATAGCGTCCCTTAGCGAGGGCGGAGTGCGTGCACTCGTCTGATTCCGAGACATGGCAAAGGCAATGCGTTCTCGAGCCGGCTCTGCCTGGAAACTGGCAAAGGAAGAGGGGGACGAGAGCAGCGAGGTATCACGTCGCCTACTGTCATCCACGGCCTCTCGGAACCCGGAGGTAGAGGAAACCGCTCTTTCAATGAAGGTTTATAATATGTTTTATGGCCTCAGACTGCTTCTGGGCGGCAGAGAATTGCTGGGCAAAACTCTCGACCGTGAAATGGCCAGCCTGAGAGACTGGGGAGTTGAGGAGCTGAGTCCGATCAGACTCCCTCATGTCTGCCAGGTTCAGCCATAGGTGGCGCTCCTGGACCACCAAAGTGGACATCACCTGATCCAAGGAGCGCGCAGTGACCTTCGTCGCCCGGAGGGCAAGGTCGGTAGCAGTGCGCGCCTCCTGCAAGACTCCCGGGTTAGCACTGCCCTCGTGCAGCTCTTTGAGCACCTTGGCCTGGTAGACCTGAAAGGTGGCCACGGCGTGCAGGGCAGAAGCAGCCTGACCCGCAGCTCTGTAAGCCTTGGTCACAAGCGTGGATGAGAACTTACAGGCTTTGGACGGGAGCTTGGGACCACCACGCCAGGTGGAGGTGCTCTGAGGACACAATTGCATTGCAACCGAGCGCTCCACTGGGGGTATCCCCGCATACCCTTTGGCTACCCCGCCATCGAGGGCAGTGAAGGTGGAGGTAGCACCAGAACGGTTTCGGGCAGTTAAAGGTGCCTTCCACGAACTGGTAACTTCCTGATGCACCTCCGGGAAGAAAGGAACCAGAGGGGGGTGCTGGCGATCAGCGCGTGCAGCCTGCAGGAACCAATCGTCCAGCCTTGAGCGTTCGGGACAGGGTGGAAGATTCCACTCGAGACCGATGCTCTCAGCTACCCGGGAAAGCATGGCCGTCAGGTCGGGATCAGACTCGGGCAACGCTGGCGTCCCAGACGCAGCTGAATCCTCATCTCCCAAGGACTCAAGCCCGCCTTGTGATGCGGCGATCGACATTCGGTCATCCTCCTGAGCCCCGAATGAGACGCTGGGACCCTGGTGAGAGGGCCCAGCAAGCTCAACCAGAAACTCCACAGGCTGCGGTGTTTATGAGGGAGGTGCGGCCCGAGGAGTCTGTCTCGTCGGGGAAGCCCACACCGTAACCCTCAGATCACCCTGGCCACCAGCCAAAGTAGCCCTCTCGAGTTTCTGAGCCCCGAATGAGACGCTGGGACCCTGGTGAGAGGGCCCAGCAAGCTCAACCAGAAACTCCACAGGCTGCGGTGTTTATGAGGGAGGTGCGGCCCGAGGAGTCTGTCTCGTCGGGGAAGCCCACACCGTAACCCTCAGATCACCCTGGCCACCAGCCAAAGTAGCCCTCTCACGGGAAGAGGAACTAGATCGGGGTGTGGCAGAGGGGACTCTATACCATTTAAAGTAATCGAGTCTCGATTTTAATGCCGAGATGGTCATGTTCCCACAATGAGAACATGAACCATCCACGAATGCAGCTTCAGCATGCTGAAAGCCCAGACACGTGAGACAGCGATCGTGGCCGTCAAGAGGAGAGCCATATATCGACCGCACCCAGAAACGCACGGGCGGTATGACATCTTTAAAAAGATGCAAACACAACCCGTATAACTCTTTTAGAGAAAATAAGTTCTTTCAGAGGCGCTGAAGCGCTCAGGGGAACACAGGAGCTGGAGAAAAGAAGCAGGAAGCTCTTCAACGAACCGCTGAATCGCGCTGTCACTCCAACACCACTGAAGACTCGTTGCTGCAAAACACTCCGGGGATACAAGCAAAGAGATGTGCTCAGCTCCTAAGCAAAAGCTTGTATGCGACTTGCTCGCCCTACTCCTTATATACCCACACAGCGGGGCGGAGCTCGCGATGCAAATTCCGCAGACCAAGGTACTCAGTGTACCATTGGCTCGTTCTGTTACCACTCAAAGGTGATTGGGCTCTCGGGGGAGACCCCATTCGTCAGTCTGTTCTGACGTAACGTCGAACGTGACCGACTGAAAGGGAACAATACATTCCAAAGTAAGAAAGACAGTAAGGAATAAGGAAGGAGCTTCAGAAGGAATAATGATCAATTTTATAATGGCTACTATTCTGAAATTAACTATCCTGTGGCTGACTCTGGAGGGCGAAGACTTTGAAATGAGACACAGCTTCAGTCTTTATCATTAAGTAATTATGTTTACACTTACACTGGCTTGAAAAAAATAATAATTATAATTATAAAAGAATTATAAAATTATAACTGCCACATGAAAAAAAATACAGATTTTAGCACAAAGAAAAACAGCATTTTCAACTGTGATATATTTTGAATGCAAAAAAATTGGAAATATAAATGCTATTGGATAATATTTTTTAATTATAAAAAATATTACCCATTATTTTATTATTGCAAGGCACCCCAAAAAGTATATGTAAATTAATTGCAAACTAACTGTGAAAGGGTTGAAATAATATAGTGCTTTAGGGTTAGAAACAACCAGTGTTGGGAAGGTTATTTTGGAAATATAGTAATGGGTTACAGATTACAAATTACCCTATTTAAAATGTAATAAGTAGTGCAAATATTTCACTTACTTTATTAAAGTAATGTAACTGATTACCTTTTCTAAAATTCTAATGTTGTCTGCTGTTAATCATTTTGAAACATGTAAAGCAGGTAATTACATACATTTTTTTAATGTAATTACATAACATGTAATTACATAAAACATGTAATATTGCAGTAGTACTCAACACTGATTACTGACAGACTTTCATCACTTGAATTAAGATTATAATAATTTAATTCTAAAGCACAAGCACCATAAAATCAGACTTTAGCACCTCTTTATAATTTGAGATCATTCTGAGGTTTAATACAGATTTAAAACCATAACAAGAAATATTTTAATAACTACTGTTTTCGATACTGTTTTTGAAATAAAATCTTTGCATAGCTACAGTTAATCTTAAAAAAATAAATAAATAAAAGCATTTACATAAACCTATCAAATAGGAAATAAAACAGTTATCGAAATATGTTTCCTAAACTCCTGAAACACTGGTGTCTCATATTTTAAAGCAGTCACTGCAATTTATGAAAGAAATCAATTAAATCTGTATGTGGGTGTGTGTGAAATAAAAAAATCAGAAGTAACCCCCTTTGTAATCATTAACATTTTGTTAACAAGTAACTGTCATTTAATTACTAATTTTTTCTCAGTAACTGTAACTGATTACAATTTCATTTTTTTTTAAATTAAATTACATAATTTAGTTACATGCTACTAGATACTTCCCAACACTGGAAACAACTACTTACAAGACTGTCAAAACATATTTAGGATTGGGGGTCAGGGATTAAGAATCAGCCCAATTTTAATCAGCCATTCACCCGTATTTTATAAAACACATTTTAGGATTCGAGGGATGCTGGTCTATGCCAGTTATAGTACTTTGAAAGTTCAGCGGTCACTGAAGATCCTGAAGTTACTACACCTGCTACGCCTCAGTGTTGACCTAATGAAGAACCAGCGTTCATGCTGACCTTTAGCACTGATGCTGCGCAGGTCTGTGATCTTCATCAGGGTCTTGGGGAACATGTGTGGCTTGCTGGGTCTGCGCTTTCGCACGTAGATTTTCAGAGCCTCTAGCAGGGGTTCCTGGAGCTGGTCCACTTTTGAAGGCTCTTCCAAATCCTGGCGATCTACAGAGATAGCATATGATCAGAGACATTATAAATTAATAAGATATCACAAACAGCCCATCCTTCAGAGTGCTGTTGAACAGAATATGAACCCTCTGAATGATGAAGAAACTCCCACGACCACAGGAGGGCAGTGTTATCACTTCTACTAGGGGTGTAACGGTACACAAATATGATGGTTTGGGACATACCAAGGTTTTATTGTCACGGTTCGGTATGGTTTCAGTCAAAGTCCCTTTCAATGTAAGGTTACAATTAAAAACAGAGCCCAAACATGCAAACATGTAAATTGCACACAACTATTATCCCGTTTTTATTTGTTGTTAAAAATGTATTAATTTACACAGTGGCTGTCATAACTTGTTTCATAAAACATTTATTTAAACATACATTAAATAATTAAGTAAAATATAATGAGTATATAGTCTAATATTCTGCGAACTGCTAAGACTTCATTTATCTAGCGAACTAACGAGCTGTGGACACTGATGACTAGCCTGAGGTAAATTAAATGCTATGTGACATTTTGTTTACAAGCTGTTTTAAAAAACTTTATTTTTATAACAGTTTTTACAAATGAGGACATCCCCAAAGGGAGGTTTTTGGCGATTTTGTCAGGTTTTGCTCACTTTTGGGTACAAATTTGTCCCCAAAATATGGTTAAGTAGGTACACACACACACACACACACACAGATGTGAGTGTGTCATACTGTCATACTGACTGTCATGTATGTTTTGTTGACCTTGGTTATTTTGTATTTGATTTGTCACCTGTAAGTAGTATATCTGTTTGCAAAAAAAAATAAAAAAATAAAATAAATAAAAAAAATGATTGAGGTCATGTATGTACATTGTGTGATAAGTCGATATATTGATTATTGCGACAGGCCTATCTGTTGTGGTGTGTGTGCAGGAGCGGCCCACCTCCGGAGATGAGGCAGATGGCAGACAGCAGTCCCGTCTCTGTGTCGTCCATCTCGATGGGCAGGAGCTGGTTGGCGAAGGTGAACACCAGGTCTGTCAGCGGGCCGAAGCCAGCGTTGTGCATCTGTGTGCGGT